TGTGTTTTTAAGGATATTTGGACTTGCAAGACGATTGGTTATGGTATCAGAAAAGGGAGGCTTTACTACTTGGAGATGACATCGAACAGTACCTAGATGTTGACTCAAGCTCTTACTGTCAAAAGATCTCAGGGGGAGCAGAATAAATCTTCGGAGGTTTGGTTGTGGCATCGTCGACTTGGACATGCTTCTTTCGGTTATTTACAGAGGTTGTTTCCTAGCCTATTTGTTAAGAATGACGTTTCTAGCTTTAAATGTGGTGTTTGTGAACTAGCTAAAAGTCATCATACTTGGCTTCTGTCCAGTTTGACAAAAAGTTATGTTCCATTTATGATAATCCATTATGATGTTTGGGGACCATCTAAAATTGGTGCTTATTGGTTCGTTACTTTTGTTGATGATTGCACACGTATGACTTGGGTTTGTTTGATGAAGTCAAAAAGTGAAGTTACTTCCTTGTTTTGGCAATTCCACAAAATGGTGCAAGTATAGTATAAGTCATAAATACAGGTTCTCATGAGTGATAATGGTGGGGAATATGTGAACTCTGAACTTCGTGCCTTTCTAGATCATCATGGTATTGTTCATCAAACTACATGTCCATACACTCCATAACAAAATGGGGTTGTAGAGCGCAAGAACTGTCATCTTCTGTAGGTTGTCCGTGTTTCCTTACTCGATGGGCGTCTCCTGTTATCCTATTAGGGATAAGCTCTCACCTTGGCTGCGTATCTCATTAATCGTGTTCCATCCCAATCAGTTGATTTTTAGACACCTCTTCAGGCCATTTCTTCACATTTTGATGCTTCTGCAGTTCCAAATCTTCCATTTCACGTGTTTAGCTGTGTGGCTTTCATTCATCTCCATAAACAGCAGATGAGTAAGCTTGAATCTCGAGCCTTACGGTGAGTGTTTGTGGGGTATGCCTCTAATAAAAAGGATATCGCTGCTATCATCCTTCTACACAAAAGTTGTTTGTTACTGTGGATGTTGCATTCCATGAAAACGATATGTACTTTGCCCATTCTAAGTTTGCACTTCAGGGGGAGAATCAGACAGAAGTTTAAGCTCTTGATTATACTATTCCTGATGTGAATCATTTAGGTTTAAGTGGTGATGTATTTGAAACAAGTAGTGATGATTCACAAAAACATAATGATGTGAATCATTTGGACTTAAGTGGTGATGTATTGGAAACAAGTGGTGATAATTCACAAGAAAATAATGATGTGAATGACTTAGAATTAAGTGGTAATGCCTTGGAGTTAAGTGGTGATTATTCACATGAAAACAATGTTGATGAACCGACACCGCCGAAATATTCATTGCCTTCCTCACCGTTGGATAACTATTTGCCAACCTCCTCACCATTGGACATCTCATTGTCGCCAACTACCTCACAGTCGATCCATCACCCTTGAGCCCCAATAACCATAAGCAATCGTCTTCGATCCTGGATGCACCACCACCACATCATCTCCCTAACTATGTCAACCGATGTATTCTTAAACTTACTTACGAAGCTGCCCTAAATGTAAAACTAGGTACCCGGTGAATAGACCCAACCAAGAATCTAATGTGTTTTACTCATTAGGTAATTATGTGTCTACCAGCCACCTATCAGAATCAAATAAGTCATTTGTGTTTCAATTATCTACTGTATCTATTCCTAACAGTGTGCATGAGGCTTTAGCTGATCCATGTTGGCAAGCAACAATGAATGAAGAATTGAAGTCGTTGAAGAAGAATGCTACCTAGGAGATCACGAACTTGCCAGCTGGCAAGAAACCTGTGGGATGCAAATGGGTCTAAACTAGTCAAGTACAAAGTTGATGGGACAGTGGATCATTTCAAGGCAAAACTGGTAGCAAAATGGTACACTAAAAAATATGGAATCGATTATACAGATACATTTGCCCATGTGGCCAAGATCAACACAGTTCGTGTTTTGTTGTCCTTGGTTGTGAATCTTAATTGGCCCTTACAGCAGTTTGATGTGAAGAATGCCTTCTTGCATGGAGATTTGATAAAACAAATTTATATGGATCTTCCACCAGAATGTGGTGCTTTGGATAAATACAAAAGAAAGGTATGCAGGTTGAAGAAATCCTTATATGGTTTGAAGCAGTTCCCTCAAACATGGTTTGGAAGATTCACAAAATCTATGAGAGCATTTGGTTACACACAAAGTAATTCCAATCATACTCTGTTTTTGAAAAGACGAAATAGGAAGCTTACTACACTCATTGTGTATGTAGATGATATGGTTGTAACAGGGAATGATCCAGAAGAACGTGCAGCCTTGCAAGGATACTTGTCTACAGAATTTGAGATGAAAGATCTTGGATCCCTAAAATATTTTCTAGGGATTGAGGTGTCGAGAAACAATTATGGAATTTACTTATCTCAGAGTAAGTATATTATTGATTTGCTACACGAAACCGACATGTCCGCTTGTCAGCCAGTAGCTACACCATTAGAGGAAAGATTGAAGTTTAGTGTTGATCCTAATCAAGTACGAGTTGACAAAGGGAGATACCAAAGGTTAGTAGGCCGTTTAATGTACTTGGCACACACAAGACCAGACCTTGCATATGCCTTGAGTGTAGTGAGTCAATACATGCATAATCCTGGAGAACACCATATGAATGCAATGATGCGGATTTTGAGATATTTGAAGGGAAGCCCATGCAAAGGAATTTTGTTTAAAAAGAATAATCATCTTAGAGTTGAAGGTTATACTGATGTAGATTAGGCAGGATCAGTGGATAACAGACGCTCAACATCAGGTTACTTTACATTCGTTGGGGGTAACTTGGTTACATGGAGGAGTAAGAAACAAAATGTGGTTACCCGGTCTAGTGCAGAAGTTGAATACAGAGGTATGACCTTAGGGATTTGTGAAATTTTATGGTTTAAGCTTTTACTAGGGGATTTGAGTATAAAACATGATCAACCTATGAAATTGTTTTGTGATAATAAAGTTGTTCGTGACATTGCACATAATCCAGTACAACACGATAGAACAAAGCATGTTGAAGTTGACCAGTTCTTCATCAAAGAAAAATTGGAAGGGAAGATAATTGAGGTACCAACAATAAGAACGGAAGATCAGTTGACATCTTCACAAATGTTGTTTTAAGTCATAAGTTTTCAAGTTTCCTACACAAGTTGGGCATGTGTGATATATATGCACCAACTTGAGGGGGAGTGTTGACTTTTTGTGTATAATCTTGTAATCTTGGGATTCTTAGTTTAATATGTTTTTTATGTAAATTATTTCTTTCCTTATTGATAGGATTGTAACATCTTATAAACCCCTAATTGAGAGATGAATAGAACACACAGAGCATTTTCTTCTTTTCTAAGTTTGGATTAATTTCCGTATAAGGATTAAAGTGTTATTCCTTACCCTAATTTGGGTAAGAATTATTTCGTGTAAGGAAAATAATTATTTTACATGGATGGTTAGGAACTAATTGTTTGAAAATTTAAAAATGGTTTTTTAATTTTGAAAATGTGCACAAGGTTTTATGCAACTAACACAGATTACTAGTTTCCTTTTTGACCCCAATTACATGCGAAGGAAAACAGGGTTCTTTCTTTAAAAAAAAAAAAATAGGAAAATGTGAATGTAGAAATTGAGCGAGGATGCTCACCAGATTCTTTTGTCAGGATTCCAAAAATTCTCAAATTATATTAATTTATTGTACATTGTAGGGTTAAAATTATTGTAAAGTTTTTTATTTAAAATTGAATATAAATAATATTCGAATAAAACTGGTCGCACTAACTACGATGAACATATATGGTTGGAGGATCCTCAGAATCCTCACAAAGAGGATCTAGAGAGGGGAGGTGGATTGTTTGCCCTCCCATTTCCATACTCTTCTCATCCCCTCATGTTTGTGTGGTCACGGTTAAGCCACGTCAACAGTTTATATTGATTTTTTTTTTAGAAATAATAAAACAAAAAATAATAGAAATATAAAATGTTGACGTGACTTAACCGTGACCACACAAACAGGAGATGATTGGAAGAGTATGGAAATGGGAGGGTAGATATTCCACCTCCTTGGAGAGGATCCTCTCTCATAGAAATTGTAAATTTAAAATACAACAATTTTTTTTTTAAAATCTTTTACTATTAAAATTTTAAATCAATTATATTATTCAAATTTCATATATAGATGCAAGTGGCATGTTATCATAATGGTGGAAATATGTTGAGTTCTTGCAAGACGACATGGGTTCGAACTTCATCGATGGCTAATTCTAACATCTAATCAATAAAATCTATCGTTTGACAAAAAAAATATAGATAAACATTTATTTAGCATCCATATAAGTTTCATATATAGATATATATTTATTTAGCATCCATATAGATATGAAAATGAATTATCGCTAAATTTGGTGCAACTCTGAATTTACAGAGAGATTCTTAAGTGTGTCGGGGACTTGAGAATATGGCCTAATAATGTATATTTTTTAATTCAAGATCAGGACATAGAGTGCTACATAATTTGGCGCATAGAATGTGATTAATTTTTATATGATCGGTAGCCATAAGTAACACATAAATGAAAACTATCTCTTTTAAGTATGATTCAAGGAATGCGCGAAAACTAGCTATAACTACTATCTCACATGATAATATCTTTCTTTTTCTTTCAAATCTCACTAGCCTCCTACTCATATGAATTTGTTTGTTATCATTGATTCATTATACTCTTGAGAAAATTGAATCCAAACGTATTCTAACTGTAATTCATTACCCTTATCCTCACTCTTACCACTTAGTACTACAGTTCAATGATATTCCTCTTCACTTGTAAGTGAAAATTTTTATATTCAATTAGCACAAAAAACGATTATGAATCATATTATTACTACGATATGTAGATAATATCGTTTGTTAAAAAAAAATTTAATTTTACTTGATATTTCCAACCTACGGTACTTGTGGAATAAGTAGGCTTCATTTTTCTCTCCCCCATTTTCTCACTCCACCCAAAGCCGAAAAAGCCATGACACAAATAAAAGGAACAACTCCAACACCAACAACAGCAGATCACAATAAAAAATAAATCCAAAAACAAAACAGTTTCTTGTAAACTAAGGCATTCCCATAATTTCTTCACCACCAATCAAACCCCTATCGCTTGCTTTTCCCTCCACCAAATCACCAGAAGACGCCTCCCTATCAAAACCCCCAACCTCTCCAATCTCAGCTTCTCGGACTCATGGGTCGCGAAGCTGACCTTCAGATAATACCATCAGCCGCCGCCGCCACCATCGCCGTAGCCGCCCCCATAGACCCGCCGACGCCGCCACCTGCGCCGACAGCCCTCGCTCCCGGCTTCAGGTTCCACCCAACAGACGAAGAACTCGTCATTTACTACCTCAAGCGCAAGGTCTGTCGCAAACCCTTCAAGTTTAACGCGATCTCCGAGGTCGACATCTACAAGAGCGAGCCCTGGGACCTCGCTGGTAAATACCCACATCTCTGATTTTCTTGATTTTTCTTCATTTTTTGTGGCTGGGTTTCTTAATTTTTGTGAAAATTTTGTAATTTTATTGTTCTTTTATTTCTTAATGTTCGTGTTTTATAAGGTAAATTGCCGTATTATTTTTGTGCCTGATTTTTCGGCTGAGATAACGCTGGATGATTTTGTGAACTTTTGGGCTTTTTTTAGATTAGGGGTTGTAATTTTGTCTAATTTTAAATGGGGTTTTTTTAGACAAGTCGAGCTTGAAGAGCAGAGACCAGGAATACTATTTTTTCAGTGCGTTGGATAGGAAGTATGGAAATGGGGCAAGGATGAATAGGGCTACCAACCAAGGGTACTGGAAGGCCACCGGAAATGACCGGGCCGTCAAGCACAACGATTTCGTGGTGGGGATGAAGAAAACCTTGGTGTTCCATAGCGGCCGAGCTCCAGATGGGAAGAGGACCAATTGGGTTATGCATGAGTACAGACTTGTTGATGAAGTTTTTGAGAAGGCTGGGCTCGGTGCCATTCAGGTGAGGTTTTGGCCTGTTTTTCGTTAATGATTTTATGTGCTATAAGAATTTGTTGGTTTAATGAGCTGAATCGCTAGGAAATGAGAGAATGCTGGTTTTGCACTTGTGCTATATTTTGGTTCGATGATTGTGGAAAGTTTTCGCATTTGAGCTGATTAGTTGCTTTTAGTGAACTGCTTGACTTGGTTTATTGTGTTACGATAATGTGAAACACTGAGATCCTTATCTACATTTTACTAAAGCATCGAACTAGTAATTTTTTTTAGCATTGGGTTTTGCAATCATCTGGAGACTGATTTAGTAGTTTTTTTTGTTTCCCTTTTGCTTTGTGGGCTGGAGGATGCATTTGTGCTATGTCGAGTGTTTCACAAAAGCAATATAGGACCACCAAACGGGCATCGGTATGCGCCTTTTGTTGAGGAGGAGTGGGATGATGATGACAAGTTAACTTTGGTTCCTGGACAAGAGACCCGGAGTGTAGCTGTAGTTAGTCGTGATGCATTTGTGGTGGGAAATGATCATGCTGCATGTACTGAACAAAATGATTATGCTGCTCGTAGTGAGCAAAAGGTACATGCTGCTCGTAGTGAACAAAATGATTATGCTGCTAGTAGTGAGCAAAAGGTACATGCTGCTAGTAGTGAGCAAAAGGTACATGCTGCTCGTAGTGAACAAAATGGACATGCTGCATACATTAAAGGAAACGGACATGCTGCATACATCGGAGGAAATGGGCATGCTGGATACATCGGAGGAAATGGGCATGCTGGATACATCCGAGGAAACGGGCATGCTGCATATATTGGAGGCAAAGGCCAAGCTGCATATAATGGAGAAAATGGTCATGGAACTTCCATTGAACGAAATGGTCGTGGAATTTCCATGGAAGGAATTGACCATGGAACTTCCGTTGGTCATGGAACTTCTGTCAAAGGAACTGGTCACGGCACCGAAGGAAATGGTCACAGCACATCTGTCAAAAGATACGGTCACGTTACTTCTGTCGAAGGAAGTGGTCACATCACTTCTGTCGAAGGAAATGGTCAGGGCACTTCTGTCAAAGGAAATGGTCATGGCATTTCTGTTGAAGGAAATGTTGTTGAAGGAATTGGTCATGGCACTATAATTGTAGTAGACGACAATGGAACTACTAATGAAGGTAACTGTCATGAAACTGGTACTGCAGGAAATGGTCACAGTGCGCCCACTGCAGAAAATAATATTGTGCAGGTTTGTGCTTTCAGTTTATTTCTCTTTATTCTTAAGTCTATTCACGTAAAATTTTGTTCCGTATTATTGTATAGGCTGAATTTGCTCACCATAATGCAAATAATGATTTTCCCCACTATGTTATTAGTTAACATCGCGATGACTGTGTCCCATAATAAGACAAACAACATTTATTAGAACAACCTAATCAAAGCATTAAAGCAAACTACTGAACCATGCACCTTGGTTTTGATTGAAGGTCCATTATTCAGGCACTTGGGGTAATTCATCATCTCTAGGTAGTAGGTATTAGCAAAAATTTGATGAATTGCGAGAAATAATAAAGTAAGGATTTGTTTCCTTGCATAATATCCAATATCAAATATGTACCAATGGCAAGCATGTATACTGTATTCTTGGACATGTGAGTTTGCGTTGTTTTTTTATTTTGTGGGCTAAATTCACTGATCACCAACATAACTTTTCAATCTTCTAGTGGGTTGGAATTTTCTAACTCAAACCATTTTTTGTTTTCACTCTTTCGTTCTTTGAAGAGGTCTGCACAAAATGGTGACTCATATATTTTGGATAATGGCCCTCTGTATCTCTATCATCTGTGCATTATCATATTATAAGTGTCATCATCCTATGCTTATAAACTAATAGTATTACATAATTGTTGAAATCAATGTTTAAAAGACAATATAAGGAGGCTTCCCTACGTAGAAGGAGGCCTGCATTGACTGCTGGTTGAGATTATAATTATTCTGACAAGATACTTTTGGAAGGATGACGTGTCTTCTGTTTGACCTTGACATTTTTCCTTTAGTCTATAAATGGGTTGTGCTTCAGAGATGATGTGACTCGGAGAATCATTCTGTTCTATGAACCTGTGGCATAAAATTGGTGTCTCTTGGGATACATAGAAAATGTGGTGGCGCCCCTTGAGGTTACATAGGATGATATATGCATAAATTACCTCGAGAAAAAAGATAGGAGACGGTGGAATAGTCGATATCAATGGCTTATGTGATAAAGAACCTTTTTCCGTTATCAAGGTTTTGTCGTAGATCAGTGGCTTTGATAAGGCCCCACATAAAGTACCTTTTTTCTCAAAGGTTTTGATAAGCCATGATAAAGTACCTTGAGAAAGAAGCTAAGTACCTGTTTATTTTGTTGGATTTTATGAGAGTTAGGGGTACAGAGGAATGATGTTGCTTGGTCTGTAGAGGAGCATCTGCACAATTGGAAGGTTCAATTGTTTAAGTTTGAGATGAGGTTTTAGAAGAAAGTTGACAACATTTCTTGCTTAAGGTGATAAGGAACGATTATAGTGACATAGACTGTAGTATGTTGGAATTGTTTGAAAGACCAGGTGGAGAAGGAGAAGTCTTGAAGCATCCAAATGTGAAGGATGATTTAGGTTCAAGTGTGACTAAAGTGGATTTTGTTGGTTGTCATGATATGTTTGTTAATGACCTTTTAGCAAAAGTGGGGGATTATGAGGCTTTTGCAGAATTATTCTAGTTAATACCAAAGTCAACTTATGAATAGTACAGGAAGGAACTTAACCAGATGATTATTTAGGTCACTGTTATACTAGTTCAACTGGCTCACTCTCCCCGTCACCCTCTTTATATATATTTGCGACTTGCCGGTCTATGTTTTTCTGCTTTCCTCAAGAAAAAAAGGTTGTGTTTTGTATAAGAAAAATGGTTAAACTAGGGGTGAGCAAGACCTGAATAAAACCTGGAATCTGGATAATACCAAAACCCTATAGAAAAGTTATGTAACTGAAGTAGGCAAGTCATGACTAAAGTTTCAGTGTTTCCATTCCTTGTGCTCTCCTTTTCTTTTTATTACGGAGATTTGCAGAGCTATAGGGTTTGTTCAGGTTAATTTATAGATCCTTCTGGAGTTTAAAAGCAGATTGTAATGGTCGGTATTAGCCCCTTGTAATGAGTAGGAACATCAGGATTTCATTAAACTCCAGAATCCAGATAGCAATTTGAACGAGTGACATGGTTCTCAGTCTTTTAATGAAAGTTTCGCCATTATCCCCCACAAACAATTTATATTTGGGAATTAGTATGGCTGTTTTGCTGGTATTAATTGATAGTTGTTACATACAAGAGTTATGTTGTTAGATAAAAATAATAGATAGAACTGCTTAAAATGAAAGTAAATTATTAAAAGGTAGACTTTACCACATGATGGTTAAATGTGCTTTGAGTTTTGTTTTATTGCATAGTCTGTTGGCCTGCCACATATTTGTAATCTGCCATACATAGAAATCCCATCCTTGGAATAATCCAGTCACTCTTTAAACTCTAGCTAAAATGAAACCAAGATACATAAATTTGAAAATTAAAACAGCTACTTGTACGTAGTGCTTCTTTCTGGCACCGACACCTTCTTTTTGACCTTGCTGTATACTAAAACCATGGATTAAAAAGAAAACTGAAATGAAAGACGCATACGCCTTTCATAGAACCAAACTACCTGACCATATAATTGCTAAAACAGTTGTTCTCTTATTAGAGTAGGCTGCAGAATCGTCTTATGTTGGGGATTGTAACTGTATTTCTTGACACATGAATCATTATAAATATCTCAATTTCTTATTTTCGTACTCTAGGTTTTAATTCTAAACATAGGCTGAAACTATCCATGGTTGTGAAATTTACTTTTTGATTTGCAGGTTATTATTTGCAACGTTTTGAATGCATAATATCAACCACATGTCTATTATCACTGTTGCTATGTTTATTATACACTAAAAGAAGTAGACAGTGACATGCTACCATAAACAACCAAAGTTGATATCATGATATGGTGTACAACCAACCTGACCTGTTAGTGACATTCCCATTAGTATTGTTCTTTGTTCATGATATTCGATACTTAAGATTGCCTGTCATAGCTCCTTGCATTTTTCTTTGTATTTTCAATTTTCCTTACATCCAATATTTGCTTCCCTTTCTTGGTTGCTCATTTCAGGATACTCAGGCAATCAGCAAGGCTATTGTTGTTGTTCCTGAACTTCCAGCAGAGAATCAAACTGTCTTACCACCGTGCAAGACAGAGAGAACGGATGATTATCCTATGACATGTGTGGTTAATAGAGAAGAGAGATTGGATGACTATCCGTCACCAGGTCCAGATGATGCACAACCCCTGCTAACTTTGTTTAATCGACAACCTGGGCAACTACGGCAGTATAAAAGAAGGCGGCATAATGAGTCAAATTCTAACCATTCAAATGCTTCTGAGATTTCAAGTGGGATGACACATGACCCTTGCTCGTCTACAACAACAACAGCGTCAACTGAGGCATCGATGACAACGACCACCAGAAATTTTCTGTCTGCACTGGTGGAGTATCAGCTGTTGGAATCCCTTGAACCCAAAGATACCACCCCAGCACCTCCTCCTGAACTTAATGCTGCATTGATGGAATCATCTGTGCCTACCAGCTGCTTGAAATACATAGAGACTTTGCAAACTGAGATCCACAAAATCTCAATCGAGAGGGAGACATTGAAGTTTGAAATGATGAGTGCCCAAGCCATGATCAACATTCTTCAAGCCCGAATTGATCTCCTAAACAAGGAGAACGAGGATTTGAAGAGGAAGGTCTGAGTCGCCTAGTGATTCGTAGTCGTACGTACTCCCCCTGTGTTCGTTGTATGAGTTATCGGCCCCGTATGGGCCTTGTCGGACTATCTGAAGTGAGTATGTTTTCTTTGTTAGACCAAGGAGGAGCTGTCTCTGTTGTTAATCGAACGATGTTGTACCCGTGTAGCAAGCTGCTTGTACCGGTAGCAAGCTGAACCATGTCATCCAAATCGGCAGTTTTAGACCCTAATTATTATTATAAATTTCGAGCTTATTTGCTTAGAGCCTTGGACAGTGGTTTGTTGAATGCTGCAAGTTGGAACTACAATTCCCGGAGGATGACTGAGCTATTGCCTCGGCTTCGACTGGGGAATCAAGGGCTCTGATCTCTCTTTCACACAAATCACGGACTCAGATTTTTTAGTTCCGGAGAGAACTCAATTTCCATTTTAACTTCAACCTACCATCCTCTTAATTATTTTACGAAATGTTTGTTGTGTTTAGTGATGGAGGTAGAGGCTAAGGCTGGTATATCTCTACTAATTAATAAAACACTCATTGTCAACCAAAATCTTATGAAATTACCCGTTTAACCCTCTAATTAAAACAGAATATGAATAAGAAATATGGGGTAGAAATGTAATTTCACACAACTAAATTTTGCTGTTTTTTTTCAAAGCCTCGCATACATGTAATCATAATATATCTTTAATAAAAAAATAAAAAAATAAAAACAAAAACATCCCACTCCCACATTCTCTTTTACTCTCTTCCTCTCTTCTTCTATTTCAAAAACAAAAATAAAAATTTTTCTCACACATTTTGTGTGTGCTCATATGCTAGTATATATATAATGTTAGAAACTCAGACCGCACACGATAGGTGTGGAGCATCACAAATAATGTGTGATGTATTTGAAAATTTGATCCCATGCGTCACACATAAAATGAGTTAATTGAATGAATTTGAGAAATTATTATGTATAAAATTGTACAAAACTAACTCAACATATATTTTAAAATTGGTATATACCAAATTTGTAAATTTATCCTCAAGATTGTTTATAATTTATGACACACCCCGACCAAAATCGAGGCATGTTGGCCATCACCTAAAGGTGACGTAGCCATGTGCACAGTGCAGAAGCAATAAAGATGTAAGGAAATGCGAATAAACAAAAACCAAATCAACTAGAGTACTAGATAAGATAAGGTGCAAGTGCGAGGTTAAGTGTGAAATACACAATTAGAGCATAAATAGCCTAAGTGCAGTCTGACTGGACAAGTACTAATTATACAACACTCAAAGGTGATCCTACATTTGTGATGTCTTGTCAAAACCACCGTCGAAATCCTCGTGAGCCACCAAAGCACTTCTACCTAAAACCTGGATGGGTGCAAAACAAAAAGTGTGAGTGGGCAAAAACAAAACTTTTCAAAATCATTTCATTTCTCAAAAGCGCTACCCCTCGCCGTAAAACTTGTATAATTTCCCAGAAAAATAATAATATATGCTATATCAGAAATCATGCTCAGGATGAAAATCCATATAAATATACCATGCCAAAGTATCTCAATGAAATGCTATAAGTAATCCACTTAAAATGTATCCATGCCAAATATCATATAAGCTGGATCCACCTAACGTGACCTGCACGGTTGAGTCTATAGCTCATAACCAATCTCAATGATATCAAATCTGCACACGAGTCGGAACCACCTAAAGTGGTTTGTACGACAGGACAAAGTGTAAAATAATATGCTTTAGTGCTACAATCGTGTGAAGACTGTGCGAATAATCGCGGGTCACCTACGAGTCGGAACCACCTAAATGGTATGTACGACAAACCTGTGCACTTAACTTGGATCTAAGGTGAGCATTTGGTGCGGGAGGTGAACATCACGTGAAAGACTGTGCCCTAACTCTGGGCGGGAACACTAACACTGGGGTGCATGTTTATGAGGTTTTAATGCATCACATCGTATCTCGTATAACTCAAGCAATCTCATATCTTTAATTATGAACTTACCTGGCACTTACCTATGCGTCCGCAGCACCAATCATAAATATATGCAACTACTAATGCATAAATAAAATAGGCAAATACTTTGCATGGCATTTCAAAATGTATAATTATTCAAATTCATTTTCTGGAAAAATCTCAAGTATATAGGTATATACGATAAAACCAAAAGCCCACTCATTGGAATGTCGAAAGGTCGTAGCCCCCGAGCCTCGATTGATGGCGTTCATCCTTCGGATAGGTCTTACCTATATGCAAAATAACTAAATAAACGTTATTTAAAGCACATACACAAAATTAGGAAATAACTTCTCATACATTGCTCAAATTGGGTATTTGAATATACCACCAAGACCTACTCAACCTCAGGAACATCCCCATATTTTTAGAAAAAATTTCTAACCATCCACGCGCCGGCCAAGGCACGGCCAGACGCGCGGCCAACCCTGACAGAAACTTAACTGCCGTTTGGAATATTCTGTTAAAACCTTAACAGAATTTAACGGCGTTACCTGACACCATTAGAATATTCCGTCAGACTTGATGGAATATTCCCCTTCGTCTTCCTTGGTTCGCCGGAGACTGTCGCCGATGCCGCTGCGATTGCCAGTTTTTGGAAAAACTTTAAAACTTCATATCTTCTTCATTTCTTAACCAAAATTCATGAAATTTGTCTCAAAATGAAGCTTAGAGTGAGTAGAACACATTCTTACCACTTTCAAGCCTTGAAATCCATAGAATTTCGCCGGAGAAACCTCGATAATCCGGCCAAAATTGAAACTCGTCAAACTAAGCTTCCCTACGTCCAAAACACTCCAACTTTCTTCCCCGAGCTTCGTGAAGATGTTCTAAAGCTTCTTAGGATCTCAAAACTCCTTGAAAAGTCCACGATCACGACTGTATAAACAATGCTCAAAATCTGGGATTTCTGGGTTCTTGGGTTTTCGAAGGATTCACGTTCTGAAAATGGTATAGGTGTGTTCCTGAGCTCACAAGGAACACGAAGATGGCTTCGAAAACCTCGATCCGTGCCTGAATTGATTGGTTCACGAGTTGACCGTACAATTGTACGGATAATGGATGAAAACCGAGGGAGGGAGGAGAGAGAAATGTCAACGGGTAAGGGTATGGGTGTGTGTGAGTGTGTGTGGTCCAGCTTTGGGTTACTAACAACAACAAAACCATTAACTTTAAGTTCCAAAAACTTAGGAACTAACTAGATTAGTCTAAGACCCAAACTCAAACCACACCGCTACACAATGTGCTTAACGTCCAAGGGTATAAAAGGAATTTCCACGTTATCGAGGATAAAATAATATACATTCGGGACGGGCTGTCACAATTTATCTTGGTATATTTATTATTATTATTATTATTATTTTTCAATTAGTATATGTATTACTTGCTATTGAGAAATTATTTTTTTACAAGCGATATTACTACTTTAAACAAGAAAGAGGGGAGAGGGGAGGGTTGAAGAGGTAGACCATATTCATTATGGCAATCCTCCGCTTGCTAGCAACCAAATTGACTAAAGCATAGTGTCGTCATCTTGCACCTAAGTTCAAATCATTCTTTGTGAACATTAAAGTAGTTCAAAAATTTCTTTTGAAGAGCTAGATTATTTCTCCCATTTACCTCCAAAAACATGGGTATTTCTTTTCCACCCCTAGTCAAATTTTTAATAATTTACTTTCGATATCATACTTTCAACTCTATTTACACCTTATAAGTCTTCCATGCCCTCTAGTTTTTAGATTTTTTTACTCAAATTTTTCGGTTTGCCAGTTACAACGATTACCACTCTCAACCTTCTCTACATATTTATCTATTTTATTTAGGCTTTCATCAACAATCGAGCCCCTAAGACCTACTTCAACTCTTGGAAAGAAAAAAAAAAGAATATTTGGAGTAAAACTCAAAACTCATTTATGGACCAAATTAAGACCAGAATTCCTCCTGGATTAGTGGGGCTAGCCCATCATATATGTATATTTTTTTTAGTTTTATATTTATAAATTCATTGAATCCAACGGTAGAAGAAAAAAAAAATCTAACGATCCAAATTTAAATCCAACAGCTAAAGTAATTAAAAAAAAATTCTTTTATGTGTTTCATATTTTTTCATAGTGTTTCACGAGTTTTATAGTATCGATTAGTGATTTTTCAATATTTGTCAGAATATAAATATTTTTAGGTTAAAATGTTCATAAAATTAAATTAGGATAGTCTACATAATTTTTTTTATTTTTAAAAAGTTACTTTTAAGAGAAAAAAAATTAGCCTAAATTCTTTAATAATCTGGAGTAAAAATTTTAATTCAGAAGAATTGAAGCAAAAAAGTTGTTTCTAGACTAAAAATTTTATGTTTTAACCCAAAGGTTGGAGATGGTCCTAGAAGGTGGAATGCAATGACTAAAATATCAATAATATCGGTGAAATATCGTCGATGTTATCGTTTTTCAGAGAGACCGATATTTTCCCACGTATCCCCTTAATTGTCATCCAAATATCACGATATTATCGATAATATCGCGATATATTCGATATTATCAAAACAATCGTCGTGGCTCCGTCGTCGGAAAGGCAGCCGAGGCTGTGTCGTCGTAGCTGCCCAGATCTCTCTCTGCAATCCAGGCTCAGACCCAAGATCTGCGCCTCCGTTGTCGGAAATGAAAAATCCATTTTCTTCTGATCCCAAAACCCGCTCGAGTTTGAATCAAACCATTTGATGGATCCTTTTGCCTGATGGTGGTCCCCGGGAGGTGAGAAAGGGAGGAGGAACGGTCCACAGGTGGTGATGGTGCTCGCAGGAGTGTGCGCCATTGTGGTGCTCGGCGGGTGTGGGTGTGGTGGTATGTGCTCCGGGGGAGAAGAAACAAGGACATGAATGAGGGAGAAGGTTCGAGGGATTGGGGAAGGGTGAAACACGGGTGTCTGTCTGTTATGGGAAGAAGACTTGCAGAGAAGAGATGGGGGGAGAACCAGAGGTGAATAAGGAGAGGAATGAGGGAGAAGGAAGTGGTCTGTGCGCGCGTGCGTGTGTGTGTTGAAGTGGGGTGTGTGTGTGTGTGTGTTATCCAAGAGAAGAAAAAAAAAATCCAAACCTGCTTTCAAAATATCCAAAATTTTATGAAGATAGTCAAATTACACATAGAGATGATGAAGATAGTCAAAATTTTGAACCTCATAGGAACTCTATATGGTACTAAGTCACTCATGTATCTTACCATGCAATGTATAAAGTGTAAAATATTGTACTAATTCATTATATATAAATGATTATGGTGTGTTTAAACTTATTTCATTAATTACTACATATTTTCTACACTCACAATGTTTGCCAGCTTGCTATATAATCAACTTAAATCAGTTAAATCCATCATGCAATGCATTTCCTTTTAATTTTTTGTGATAAACTAATAGATAATTGACTAAATAAACATTTTGCAAAGTTTCAATAAAAATTTCCAAGTTTTTCTTATAATTTCCGTGATTTTTATTCAATTTTATCGATATCGATAATATCCCGATATTTCGATCGAAATTTCCGTGTTTTTGGACTACCGATATTTCCGATATCATCGATATTTAATACCTTGGTGGAATGAAGAAAAAATGTTTATACGTGGGGTTTTTAATTGGGAGTTTTAATGAAAAGGATTTGGACTAACTTTTATTTAATGAAAAACCATCATAAACTATTATTTAATAAAAAGGGCTTAAATTTTAACAATAAGGATTTGAAATTTAATCAAAAAGGACAAAAACTAAATACTCTAACGAAAAAACAAGCCCATGTGCAAAACCAAACTTTTTTTTTACAGGCGCTACCCCTGACGGAAGCCCCATTCCGTCAGTTAATGCCACTACCTTACCCAGCAAACACGAAAGTGATGATGGAGGATACGAAAGCCATTAGTATACATGCTGCAAATCCACATGTCAAAGCCCCACCAATTTGAAAGCAAAATCTTTGAAAATCTTGCTTTCAACAAATATAAGCAGCATGTATATATGTCGCACCAAATGTGAAGTACAATGCCATCTATTCAGCAAATTTTTTAGCTTTTGTTATCATGAAACAAACTTTTCATTTGTATGCTCCAGTAAATTAATGCATAGTAAATAAACGATCGAATAGACGCTTTGTGTTTTTGTTAAAATTAGATAGAGGAAATCTAAAAAACATCCCTTGGATGCTTTTTGTACTCAAATTCATATCTAAAATCATAACAAAACACCAAAATTTTATAAAAGAAATCTATTACGTTCCATATGGAGTAATTATGTTGTACCAACTGTTTAAATTGAGTTAATATTTGTTTAGACATAAGCTTTTAGGCTTTGATTGGATGAAGTATTTGGGACCCATAAGCTGATGAGAGGTACTAATCTCATTTTCTTGTTAATTACTTATTTCAAATTAATGTTTGCATGTTTGTGATCCATAAACTTAGTAATGTTTATAACTCACATCAATGTTTATGATTATGTTTTTTTTTTTAGTTGGAAACTAGTTTATGATTATGTTTGGTCTGAATTATGTTTGGAAGTCTCATGCAATTGCCTTGGATCTATCTCATTATAAAATTGAACTCACGTGTGTGTATAGTGTTCCGTTTGAGAAATAATCGGTATTTAGTTTACGAAACAGTGATAGTACTAATGTTCTGTTTGAGAAATAATCAGTGTTTAGTTTACGAAACAGTGAATAATCAATGTTTAGTTTACGAAACAGTGATAATACTAGTGTTCCGTTTGAGAAATAATCAATGTTTAGTTTACGAAACAGTGATAGTACTATTGTTCGTTTGATAAATAGTCACTGTTTAGTTTACGAAACAGTGATAGTACTAGTGTTCCGTTTAAGAAATAGTCAGTGTTTAGTTTACGAAACAGTGATAGTAATAGTGTTCCGTTTAATAAATAGTCAATGTGTAGTTTACGAAACAATGATAGTACTAATGTTCGTTTGATAAATAGTCACTGTTTAGTTTACGAAACAGTGATAGTACTAGTGTTCGTTTGATAAATAGTCAGTGTTTAGTTTACGAAACAGTGAAAGTACTAGTGTTTCGTTTGAGAAATAGTCAGTGTTTAGTTTACGAAACAGTGATAGTACTATTGTTCGTTTGATAAATAGTCAGTGTTTAGTTTACGAAATAGTGATAATATTAGTGTTCGGTTTTAAAAATAGTCAGTATTTAGTTTACGAACTAGTGATACTACTAGTTTGATAAATAGTTCAGTTTGCTTTGGTAAAAAAATGTGGTTTAGTTTGATAAATAGTTCAGTTTGCTTTGGTAAAAAAGTGTGGTTTTCTAGTTCACTTTGATAAATAGTTCAATTTGTTTTGGTAAAAAAGTGTGGTTTAGTTTGATAAATAGTTTAGTTTGCTTTGGTAAAAAAAGTGGTTTTCTAGTTCAGTTTGATAAATAGTTCAGTTTGCTTTGGTAATAAAGTGTGGTTTTCTAGTTCACTTTGATAAATAGTTCAGTTTGTAAATAGTTCAGTTTGCTTTGATAAAAAAGTGTGGTTTAGTTTGATAAATAGTTTAGTTTGCTTTGGTAAAAAAATGTGGTTTTTTAGTTCACTTTGATAAATAGTTTAGTTTGATAAATAGTTTAGTTTGCTTTGGTAAAAAAATGTGGTTTTCTAGTTCACTTTGATAAATAGTTCAGTTTGATAAATAGTTCAGTTTGCTTTGATAAAAAAATGTGGTTTAGTTTGATAAATAGTTCAGTTTGCTTTGGTAAAAAACTATGGTTTTCTAGTTCACTTTGATAAATAGTTTAGTTTGCTTTGGTAAAAAAGTGTGGTTTTCTAGTTTAGTTTGATAAATAGTTCAGTTTGCTTTGGTAATAAAATGTGGTTTTCTAGTTCAATTTGATAAATAGTTTAGTTTGATAAATAGTTCAGTTTACTTTGGTAAAAAAATGTGGTTTAATTTGATAAATAGTTCACTTTGATAAATAGTTCAGTTTGCTTTGGTAAAAATCAAAGCAATTAACTAAACTAATCACAATTTCCTAACTTTTAATTTGAACACATCACAATTTCCAACACAATAATCCAAAATTAACTAAGCTAATCAGTTAAGTAAAAATCAGGAGTGCAGATCTTCTGCACCGAAAATCATATGTGGCCTCTCATTGGCTTCCCTCAAAATTTACACTTGTCCCTCAATTGATTCAATATAACACTGTTAACTATCCAAATAAAAACTCTGAAACAAAAAAAAGGAAAATAGCAGCCCATTACCCAGTCTTCACCTACAAAGATAGAATCCCACATCAACAACGAAAAGAGGTCAAACCATATGGAAATTGGATGATTGTGATAAACTATTTAAGATGTATATGTACTAGAAAAGTAATTAAAAGAAATTTTAAGAGATAATTAGATAATAAAAACTCATCCCTCATATTAAAAAGGAGGTGCCAAATGAAGCACCTAACAAATTGAAAAGCAAAAGCATGAAGAAACAGCTCTGACCGTTTGTTCAAGCTCTTGACCTCCTCTTTTGTCATTTGCCCTCCAAGCCCAGTAACTCCAGCTTTTGGAATGTAAAGAGAATGCAGGAATGTAAAGAGAAAACTTGTTATGAAATGGTCATATGGAATTTGTAAGCATACTTTGGCTATCAGCAGAGTCCACACCTGAGTGACTACAACCAACGTAGACTGAGAAAAGAATAATGGGTTGACCTCTCCAGATACTATTCGATAAATTTCACCAAATCGTCAGACATTATCGTGGTTAATTGGAAATGCAAAATAAAATTAATAGAGTTTAGTAGATCTAAAGCATATTGATTCAGTAAACATAAGCTAGTTAGTAGTAAATTTGATTACTTTTGAGTGTACCAGAGAGAGAATACAAAGCAATGACTGCACAAGGTTACGTGAAATTGAATCACCTATAAAGGCCCGTGATTTGATCCTCAAGGACTACACCAAACAAAAACACTGAAACAGGGGCATAAATAAAATAAAATACTTACAATTGTCATGTGTTTGGGAGTTATTTCCAGGAAAATCAACAATTTTAGAGTTTTGAATTTGAACAAGAAGTAAAGAAGAATCACAAACAGAAGAGGAGGAGGATTCTGTTTCTTGCACCTCTTCCTAAAGTCTACATCATCATTCAAGGTGGTTAAAAGATCCTAATACCTTTCAAAAACATCAAGCTCAGACTCTTCCTCTGAAGGAGACATTAAATCATCAATGAAAAATCCAAGATCCCAAAAAGCTCAAATCTAAATAATATAGCATAATTGTGGTACCTCTAATGGCAGGTCGGGGACCGTCCCGGACATCTCGAACTTCTCCTCGGCCTTGACCCCATCATGGATTGAAAGGGTGGCATTACTGTCGTTGTCGACATTATATAATAAATGTCATCAGTGACTGGGTTTAATAAATGCATACCCAAAGCTTGGGCTTCGCTTCCCATGACGGAGGAAGAAGTGGATCTTGATATGGAAAATTACCTGATGAATGGGAGAATCTGGAATCAAGTCATATGGGATCTTGTTGATTTAATAGAGAAAAAGATCGGTGACTGGTTCATGAAATGAGAAAATAGCTGAGAGAAAATTAATATCATATCCATAGAATCTTGTAGAAACTGTACAAAGGCTTTCTCTCTTCATCTGGAATGAAACAAACTAAATAAACGGAGCAACGTTTGCCGTTAAGGGTTAAATTAGAAATTCGTGCTTGGGCCAATCTTTCTTGGACTCATTTAATGTTGGACCCTAATCATTAAATAAAATTATAATGTGGTTTTTGGTTAAGATTTAAAGTTTTGGAGCCCTTATAATTAGTTTTCATTTTTTAATTTCCTATACATTTAGGGGTACGCTATCCACACATTTATCAAAGAGTATGAGAAGTAAAATTGGATGTGTGGATATCACACTCCTACATTTATCTTGTATAATACCGTACGTCACCGGTTCCAGTGTTCCCCAAGTAAGTTGACGGATGCAGTTACATCAGCCCCATATCGAATCAACACCCACGCCACGTGGGACCTCTGCAGCCTGCCACATCGGTTACCTTGCGATGCCGGTAACAGGGACATAAAATGACCTGCCTGTGACCCAAAACAAATCACCTCCATATCTTCGGGGAAAACTTCCCTGCGGGACTAATGCCGCTATATATCTCTACCAAAACGACACGCCGGGTCGCACTTTCCCACACCTACCCAATGGCTCCTCTACTGTCCTCCTTCGTTGCCAACGATCAGCTCTCCGATTTCGATTCAATCCAATCCCTAATCTAACCCTAGTTCCCAATTCCCGATTCCCGTTTCTCAGTTCTTTCGATTCCATTCTGTTTTGAAACCCTAACAAAAACATTTCAATTTTTTTCCTTCTTTTTCTTCCTGGATTTGATTAATCCATGGCTCGCGGCAAAGAGAATTCACTCGCTCCTGGGTTCCGATTCCACCCAACCGATGAAGAACTAGTCTGGTACTATCTGAAGCGCAAGGTCTCCGGCAAGAACTTCCGATTCGACCCCATCTCGGTCGTCGACATCTACAAGACTGAGCCTTGGGACCTCCCTGGTTAAAAATCTTAACCCCTTTATGCTTTAAATATATATACACATACATATACACGTGTATCATTTGTGAATTTTTTTGTTGGGTTATTGTTTTTCGGTTTACTAGGCAAGTCGAAGCTGAAGGGACTTGGAGTGGTACTTTTTCAGTTTTCTGGATAAGAAGTATGGGAATTCGTCTAGGACGAATCGGGCTACTGAAAAAGGGTACTGGAAGACTACGGGTAAGGACCGTCCGGTTAAACATAATTCCCGGGATGTTGGGATGAAGAAGACGCTGGTTTTCCATAGCGGGCGAGCCCCCTCCGGTGCCAGAACCAATTGGGTTATGCATGAGTATCGCCTTTCCAATGAGGAATTGGAGAAAGCTGGAATTCAACAGGTTTGGATTTTTGTTGACGTTGCTATTGTTCTGTTGGCATTTTATGATGTTGGGATTGATTGTTGGGTTTTGTTGTGGCGGATGGGTTCAGAAGGATCCGTATGTGCTTTGTAGGATATTCCAGAAGAGTGGCACGGGACCGAAGAATGGGGAGAAGTATGGCGCACCGGTTATGGAGGAGGAATGGGACGATGATGACGTGACTTGTGTACCTGGTGAGGAGGCGGCTGCTGATGTAGTGGCACTCAGCGTGGAGCCACATGTGGAAGCAATTGGTGTCAACGATGGGGCTTATGTTGAAGCATTTGACCTTGATCAGGTTCTTAATTCATTCAGCTTTTCATTTCATGTCCTGTAGTCGACGAATTGTCTGATATGGGGATGGGTAGATTTGGCTAGAATGTCTTACATATAAAGATAACTGTCCACTTGTGGGAAACCTACCGATGTGTTATGATAAGTCAAAAGTAGATATGTTGACTGTGTCCGGTTATTGGAGTTTAGGCCAAGTGAATTTAACTTGAATCTGGCTGTGTACATGACCATGTTGAAGGGTCGTTGGTTGTAGATTTGCATTTATAGGCAGCCCAATGTCGGCAAATGAAGTTGTTATTCCCCTTTGATTTAGGTGTTTAGTGGTATTTTTTTTGGGGTAAAGAAACGATTATATTAAGATCAAAGGAAACAGCAAAGAGTATGGGGGTATGTTACTAATATGAGAGTATCTTATTATGTGTTCGTATCACATTTAGATTTCACCCCTTATGCAGAAGAATAACTAATAAGGCTGCTATAGTTACTCAAATAGGATTTTTTTCTTATGGTTGATTATGATGCTGCTCTTCTTTTGTTCTGGATAAGCTTCAGAGCAACTACGTCATTAGCACTCCCAACTTCTTTTTCTTATCAGAATTTTGGTCATCTTTTTTTTTTTTCAACTTTATTAAGGTTGAAACTTGGTTAGAGTTTATCCATCTGCAGTAGCTGTCAGCCTTACATACTTTGTTTAAATTTTAGTTGCATTCTTAAATTTATCTGGAATGCAATACCCTGCCTTTTCTGTCACAAAAAGTTTTCCTCTGTGGAACTTGGCTTATGTAGTTGTGAAATCATGTATTGCATTTTATATAGTCATTCAAAGAGCATCATCAATGTGTGTAACAGTCTAACCTAGAATACTGAAACAGGTAATGTTCACTCACAGCAGAACATTCCATCAAAGGAACTTTAAATGCAGTATTACAAGTTAATGTTGCATTGATATTACTTGAATAATCACCATACCTTGATGTGTTATAATTTTTTATGGACTACAATTTTCTAAAAGTTGGTAGAATCTTGGTGTCCTTTTAAAATGGATCTGGATGATCTTCGTTGACAAAGAGTTCCAAATGGTGTGTTTTAGAGGGACATTTTTTTGGGTATTTGCCTGTTGTCTCCCCATCCCTCACTCTCCCTCTCTCCCTGATGCTCCATCACTCTACCTCAACCCCGTATTGTTGCAATCTGACCTGGAGATTTGTTAATTATTGATGATATCTCCTCTAACCTATTAGATGTCCCCTTATTCTAAGTTCAATGCACGCTGTAATTTTTGTCTGTTATTGTCACGTGATACTCTTAACTAGTTCATAGATCTTATCCTCAACAGGGACAAATTGAAATTTGGACGACATCGTAGAATAACGTAATGAATTTCAAAGTATTCTTGGTCCTGGCCGGTGCCATGAAAAGCATCTTCGTGTTGGGTTTTTGGCTCAAAATTAGGATGATGCAATAAATTAGGTTTGTGTTACCTATTTGGTTTTGGTGTCCTATTTGGGTTTGGTTTTTTGACTTCTTAGGCCCTGTTTGGCACACCGTATAACGGATCGGATAGTATTAATAATACGGTGTACGGTGTTTGGTGACAGTTCGGATTAAATAAGCACCGGATTAAATAATCCGGGCCCACCTTTTTTACACGGTGTGTACCCGCTTGCTTATACCATCCATTTTCACGGTATAATTAGTCGGGCTCTCTTGTCTCCCGACGCAATCTTTCGCTTTCTCTCCCGATGCAATCTTCCGTTTTACCCTCCTTCCATTTCTTTTCATTTTTCCATTTTCCACCAGATCTGACAAAAATCTTCGAACCAAAAATTTAGCAAAATCCCACAGTTCCCTTTTTTGAAAGACCATCATCCTATTTCCCTCAACTTCCCCATTCTTTCCCCAAAATTTCGATTCCCCCCACCACCACCACCGCAACCTCTTAACGCAGCGTTTCATTCTCTTCCTCTCCAGACGCCATCTTGCTCTCATCCCAGGTATGTCTTCTCACAGTCTTCTTCTTCGTTTGAATCACATTTTCGTCTTTTCAATTTTCTTCTTCTGGGATTCCGCCCTCCCTCTATTCTTCCCCCTCCTATTTTTCTTGCAATTGATTGAATCTATTTATTATTTTCTCTCTAATTATGCAATTGATTATGTAAATTTGTGTTTTACATCACTCTATCCATTTTTTTAATTTTTATGTGAATTTGACTTTTTATCTGGATATATATATGTGTGAATAATTTCGGACTAGGGTTGTTGAATTGTTGATTGGCATTGAATTGTTGAATTTCGGACTAGGGTTGTTGAATTGTTGATTGGAATTTTTATCTGGATATAGATATGTGTGAATATATACGTGACAACCACAGAGGCCAAATTAGAATGGAAAAAAAAATAATATCAAATTAACAAACACAAGGCAGGAAACTTAACTCAAAATTAGTACCAAAGTTGCTTGTATCTTTATACGAATCAATAAAGCATTATATTAGAGTCTAAAAGCTAAGAAAGATTTGTTATTTTTTTTTTTCTCTTGTCCTATCCGGTTCAATACCAAACACAGTATAAATAATACGGTCATTAATCCGATACTGCACCAAACGACGACGCTAATCTACTATTTATCCGTCTAGTAGTACTATCCGGTGGCTATTTATCCTATCCGACAGAAATAGTCAGTACAGTCCGAGCTGCCAAACGAGGCCTTTAGTTAGTTTAGTTTCTTGGTGAAGAGATTTTGTTAATTACCTATTTGATTAGGATTTGGATTATTTCCTATTATTAGGATTCCTATTGTAACCTAAGTCCTATGCACTATAAATAGGACCTTAGGGTTAGTGTATTTAGTGTGGCTCATTCGTGTGGCAATTTGGTGAGAGTCAATTTGTGAGTTTGTAAGTTAGAGAGCAATTTGGGAGAATCTTCTCCGTTAGGTTTGAGTTCTCTACTCATTTGGTTTAGGGTTTGTAATTTGTGGGATTTGGGTTGTGAGAGTTTAAACACTCTTTTGTAATTTCCGTTTGTTTAGTGAAATTCCTCGCCGTGCTTCGCCCGTGGAGTAGGCTTTACGCCGAACCACGTAAATCTCTTGTGTCAGTTTGAGATTGTTTGTTTTAGCTTTCGCCTACGACATTGATATTTGGTACTTTGTTATAATTCGCTTCCGTTTGCGCATAAAAGTACAACACTTCGAACTAAAGGAACTGAGTTGATGCTGTAGTTGAGAGATTGAAAAGATCTTTGTGATCTAGAATAATGCATTACTCATGATAGAAAATATCAAGATGATTAATCTTTACATCTGAACCTTTATACGACGGCAAAGTAGAAATGAAAACTTCTGCTACCTTTTTCCATCTGTTCATGGGCATCTCCATCATCTTGATCTTATTCGTTCTATTTTACACATTCTTTGCATATGATCTAATTTTTTATATTAAATTACTATATTTATGCACATATTACTCAACTATTTAATTTAAAGAGGGTTTAATTGACGTTCACCATCTTTGGTTGACAATAGGGTTTTCATAAATAGTAGCATATAGATTGATTAGGTATATAAATATATTATATGGCAGGGGCCTCCATTTTCTGTCAGTTTAGTCTTTGATTCACCTTTGTAGTATTTCACATGATCTACTAGGTCATGCTTTGATATTGTACAGTTATAAATACTTTTTATTTATAAAATCTTTCTTTCCCAGAATCTTGACACAGGAATTCCATCTGAAAGTGCACCTCCTCCATCGAACTTCTATTATGGGGAGACGAGCCACTACATTGAGCATTCTGGGGACTTTGTTGAAGATGATACAAAGGCTGTGATAGGCACTGGGGAAACTTTGGAATACCGTGGAGACCAGATGTTCTTTAACTACCCAGAGCATCATGAGATGGTTGGAAATCCAGTAAAAAATGAATATATGACCTCACAAAGTCCTGAGGACCTAAAGTTTGTTGACTTGCCAGAGCACTATGAGGCTGATGCAAAATCAGTCAAAGATGAATGCTTTCTTGAACCAAGCGATGATGCAAATCCAGCTGTTGTCAATTACTCACTTAATGAACCGTATTTGAATGCTACGGAGAATACGCCAATTGGTGATGGGTTATTCCTTGAAGCTAATGATCTTTCAAATCCAGTCGAGTCAACTGCAGGTTTTGACATGCTTGATGAGTACCTTACATACTTTGATGCCAATGATGACATCTCTCAGTATATTGATTTCGATTCATGTGGAATGATGGGGGTTGAAAACTATGTTCCTGACGAAGCTCCAGCTGACCAGAAGGTACAAGCTTCTCAAGTTTCATTTTCCTTTTGTATTTCTGGAGTTTAAGTAGCATCTTTCATTTGATAAACTGTTGTATAGCAGCTTGTGAATGGTGAGACCGAGCCACAACCAATGGGAGGTGAACATGTACAACCAGAGCCACAGCCATTGGGAGGCGAACATCTTGTACAACCAGTGGATACTGATGATGCATCTGCATCTTCGTCAAAGAAAACGGCGGAGTTCAAGTTTGAGTCAGGTATAGTATCTTATTTCAGCTATCAAAGGTGCTATCATACCCCAATTAGTAACTTATCCTTTAGATTAGTAACTTTCTGTTGCTGTCAATGGCTGTCTTTATCTCACCTTCTGGTTTGTGTGCGATTTTCGTGGTGCAGATGGTAACTACCCCTTCATCAAAAAGGCAAGTCACATGATGTTGGGCAGCATACCTGCTCCACCTGCATTTGCTTCGGAGTTCCCTGGTAAAGAGGCAATGCGTAGGTTAAATTCTGGTGCAGCATCTTCCAGTTCGGTTCATGTCACTGCTGCCATGATTAGAATTAGAGACATAACTTCAAGTGACAACAGGATGGACTGGTCTTTTGGAAAGGATGGGGTTGTCAACCTTGTCTTTTCTGTTCAGCTGTCACAGGATGACGGAAACTCTGGCAATCTGGTGCCAGTTGGTGGCTCACTCTCTGGAAAGACGGGATGTGTGGTGATGCGGGGCTGGTTTTTGTTTATGTTTTTCTGGGTCCTATTTCTTTCCATGAGTTTAAAAATCGGGAGCTATATCTGTACCAGGTGATTCTTCTACACTAAAGGTGGTCTTCGAGCCTATCTCAGGATCTTGTAGTGAGCTTCCCTTAGTGATTAGGGGAAGAAGCATGTTCTTGCAGACCATATTTTAGTTAATTGGTACACTGACCGCTGAACTAATTATTTATACAAACCGTTTGCATAAGATTGCGTAACGTGCATGTTCTATTTTGAATAACTATATACTGAATGAATGTAAAACTGAATTTTTGTTTCAGTAAATTATTTGATTGTAATATTTTTGTTCTGTTACTATTTTGTTTTTGTTGAAGCATTGCCAAAGTATAATGTAGGGTTGATTTTACAACAGTTTTGCTTAATTTACTGTCAATCTGAAAATTCAGCAGAAATGCTTGCATGGCTTGAGAACATGTGGACTTTTGGAGCGACTCTGGAATGGATGCATTAGGCTTACTAGTTGTTTGCCTGTTTGTATTATAACACGTGGATTAGAAACAACACGTGGTCGGTGTGAATCACTCTAGCGTGATAATCTGCGGTCTTAGTGAGCAGCGTGGAAGTGACAAAAGAAGCCACTTTAGCAGGTTTGAAGTTTGCATCTTTCTCGTGCCAAACCAAGGCTTGGTAATATTGTAGCTTTCATATATATCGGACATGCTCCTGTAACATCGAAACATTGAAATCGTGAAGAGAGATTGTTTTCTAATTGAGAGACTGCAAAGTGTTGTCTCATGTCGGAAAGTTAAAGAGACCTTATATGTGGTTTATGAGTAGTTGGACAACTTCTACCGCCAATTGCTTTCAAGGCGGTGGAAGCTCAACTTCCACCTTTCTTCGGTGAAGTGTTACTTCGTATGTAACAAATAATGCACATTTTTTCGATCAAGGAAATAAGAATTGCAAAGGATTTGAGGTAATCAGAACACTATATCATTTCTGGATTTACAGCTAGGCTGCACAGCAGAAACTTATTACAACCTCAAAATTTAACAAATGACTTGGTACATTACTCCCTCAGGTTTATTTTCATGCTCTTACTACATAAA